CCCGCCTGGAGCCTGGCGGCGCCGGCTCCCGACCCGGGGGCTCTGCCTGCAGAGGACACCGGCCACTTCCCCTGGAGTCACCCTCCCTTCCCCCGAGGAAGCCGCCTGCGCCTTGACTTTCTGTTTCCCCTTTGGGTTTGCCCTTGCCCCACGCGTGGCTCCGGGATAGAAACGCCTCACGCCAGCCTCGAGTGGCCCGCGCGGCTCCCCGCCCGGGGTCCCTCGCCCTGTGGTCCGCGCAGAGGGGCTGTGTTTGCACCCACCGATCTCCCTGCAGGATGTGCACCCCGATGTTTCCGTCCCTTACCCTCCCCATCCCATCCTTCTTGCCCCCAAGACTTCCTCCATCTCTTTCTCGGTTTCCAGAACACTTCTTCTTTATGTTTTTATTGATTTCAGCGAGGAAGGGAGAGGGAGAGAGAGAAACATCAGTGATGAGAATCGTGGATCGGCTGCCTCCTGCACGATCCCGAAACCCCTGACCAGGAATCCAGCGGTGACTGCCTGGTTCATTGGTCGGTGCTCAACCCCTGAGCCAGCAGCTGGGCCAGAACACTTCCTCCCTGACAGTGCCCTCTGCCCCCACAGACCGCTGTTCGCCCCTAAAGCTCTGTGAGGACAGGGAGGGGTCCATGTGGATACGGGGCTCCCTCTGGCTCTCCAGCCCCTTTGGTCTGTTGTTCCTTGGGCACAAGAGGATCACAGGTTTTTGGCTCTGGGTGCCCCGTGGCCTGGGTGGCGGTGCTTCCTGGGAGGTGGCGAGGCTGGAAGCCGCGTGGTTTCTCCTGCCGTGCGTTTCTGGGGCACTACCTGAAGTCCACCTTGAAAGCAGGCTTCTGCCTCAGGAGACGGATCCCCGTGTTGGCAGCTGTCGTGTGTCGCCCTGCGCACACCTGCATGTCAGGCGTGAGGCGTCGTCCCTCGTGAACGGGTTCCTGGCGCTGAACCTCCAGAACACCTTTTCCGGGCGCCCCAGCCCTTCCTCTGGGGTCCCCTTTCCTCCTGGTTTTTAAGCTGGTTTCCTGTTAAGCATCTCCCTAAGTGGGTAATGGCCTCTCCTTCCCTCTGCTCCCCACAGGGCCACACAGCACAGCGAGCCCTGGAGAGAGCGCCTGGCCGCCTGGCCCCCTGGCCCCGCAG